CTTTTTCTTCCCTTTCTTTTCCTCCTTTCTTTTCTTTTCTTCCTTTCTTCCTATATTCATTAGTACCACTACTTTAAAGATAAGTCATTCTGTTGCCCATTTCTTTTTTTAAAAAAGAATTATTTATTCATTAAACTTTGTTATTATTTTTTAATTTGATGAGAGAAAGAGAAAGGGAAAGTGAGAAAGCAAGTCACCCGGTCCAGGATTTGAACCTCAGTCGGCCCTGTGGGAGTCCAGCATGCCACTTGCTGGCCCCATCTGTTGCTCATTTCAACTTCAGCAATTCTTCAGCTTTGCATCAGATTCTTCTCCTTTGGTTAATTGCAAAGAAAAATTTTAACTTCCTTTTTTTGTTTGTTTTAAGAGAGATTTTTTGCTGTAGGGCATGTGTGTGCCCTGGAGAGACAGAAAGTGAGAAATTCCCCCCCAAGGGAGGATAGCCACACTGCAATCCCTTCTTCTCTCAGATCTTGGGCACACACGTCCACGCACTCAGCGTGAGTTTTAAGCCACTGGGTCCAAGACTCAAACCACAGTTGACTATGTGGGAGTCCAGTGACATAACTATTCCTCCATCTGCCTGTCCCTGAACTTCCTTTTTTTTTTTTTTTTTTTGAGAGATTTTTGCTATAGGGTACGTGCACTCGCCAGACAGACAGAGACAGAGAGACCGAAAGCGAGAAATCACCCCCCAGGGGGGATGGCCACGCGGCAATCCCTTCTCCTCCATTCTCCTCTCGGGATCTTGGGCACGCACACACACGCGCCTGGCGTGAGTTTTAAGCCACCAGGTCCGGGACGCGAACCGCGGTCGACTACGTGGGAGTCCAGCGTCATAGCCATTACGCTAACTGCTGGTTCCCACCTGAACTTCCTTTTAACAAAGGAAAAAATGGAATTGTTCTGCCCTGCTGCCTCATCCTCAGTCCTATATTTGTGTCCTGGTATTATCTGCAATGTTCCAATTTCACTGATATCCTGGGTTGGTCCTCTTTCTGTTTTACTTGATTCGATGACCACCAGGTGTCATTTCAAAAACATACAACATGGCCAGTCTTGTATTTTTTTCCTTTTCGTAGAGAATTATTTATTATCATTATTTTTCAATTTGATGAGAGAGAGACATAGAGAGAAAGAGGGAAAATGCAAGAAAGCAAGCTGCCAAGTCCAGCACTTGAACCATAGTTGGCCATGTGGGAGTCCAGCTTCTTTAACCACCATACCACCTGCCAGCCCCTTGTTTTGTTTTTAAGGATTTTGCCCATCGGGTACATGTGCTTGCCAGAGACACAGAGGAAACGTTGAGAAATCACCTTTCAAGGGGGATGGCCATGCCACAGTGCCTTCTCCAGTCCCCTGGAATTTTGGACGTGCACACACATGCTCGGTGTGATTTTTTCAAGCCACCATGTCAGGGACTCCAACCATAGTTGCCCATGTGGAAGCCTAGTACCTTAATCACTATGTTACTTGCTGGCGCCCATGGCCATTCTTTAAAGGAGGAAAATCCCCACCAAGGGTGATTATGAGGGTTTGTTTAAAAGAAATGAAGTGCTGGAGTCAGCAGGTGGTGCAGTGGTTAAAGGCAGTGGGCTCCCACACAGTGGACCATGGTTTAAGTCCTGGACCTGGTGGCTTGTTTTCTCACTTTCCCTCTCTCTCCTTCTCTCTCTCTTTCTAATCAAACTGGGAAACTCCTCTCCGGATCTTGGGCACGCACGCACACAAGCCTGGCGTGAGTTTAAGCCACCAGGTCTGGGACTCAAACCATGGTTGACTACATGGGAATCCAGTGACACAGCCACTACGCTAACTACTGGTCCCAAATTCATTTTTTTTTAATAGCCAGAGGTGCATGTGCTTGCCAGAAAGAGACAGAATGAAAGGAGGGAGAAAGCAGCCCTCAATGTGGCATAATCATGCCACAATCCATTTCTCCTTCCATTTCTCCTTTGGGGTATGCACACTTATGCTATGAGCGTGTTTTTCAAGTCACCAAGGCTGGGATTCAAACCATGGTTAGCCATGTGGGATTCAGCCTCCTTAGCCACTAGTCTAGAGAGCTGACTCAGATATAAATTCCCTTAATCTCCCTAAAAGTAAATTAAACAGAAATTATTTAACTTTATTTGTTTAAATTTGATGGGGGTGAAAAAGCCAGCTGCCAGGTCTGGGACTTAAATCACATTCAGCCACGTGGGATTCCAGCACCCTTAACCACCATGCCACCTGCTGGACCCCAAAATAAGAATTTTTTAATTAATTTTTTTTCTTTTTCTTTTTCTTTCTTTCTTTTTTTTTTTTTTTTAGGTTTTTGCCATAGCATGTATGTTTGCCAGAGAGACAGTAGAGAAGGAAAAAGTAAAAAATTACCCCCGGGGTGGGGGATGGCTGCATTATCCCTTCTCCATTCTCCTCCTGGGATTTCTAGCATGCATGCACACATGCCCTGCATGATTTTCAAGCCACCAGGTCCAGTACTTGAATCATGATTTACAATGTGGGAGTCCAGCACCTTAACCACCACCTATTAGCCCAAAATTTCCATTTTTAAATAAAAAAATCTGAGGCAACTAGAGAGTAAATGACTTGCTAAGAAGACCTCACGTGCTACTCTTTGAAAGCCTCCCCCACAAAATTAATGTGTGGGCTCATTCCCTTTGTAAAACTGTGAGAACTCAAAAAACCACTGAAGTATACCCTTTAAATTCATGAATGGTAATGGTATGTGAATTATATGTCAATAAAGCTGTTATTTGGGGGAAAAAAAAACATTCACTTCACTGGCACCTCTGGGAAAAGTTCCTTTAATAAAATAAAATGTCTAGTACATTTACACAATTGTCATCACCCTTCATCTATAACACACAATAGGGAAAATAAAAAATAAAGGACAACCTAGACACGCTCAGTATAAAAACGGAGTGATCCATCCAAAGAGGAGGCCTCAGGGCCTGGAAATCAGAAATGCAAGAGTGCCAGTGAGCCCAGCAGCTCTGGGCTATGCTTCTGGAGGACCCAAGGGATGGTTGAGGCCCTGCCTCTAACTTTTAAAAAATAGAA